ACGACTTAATTATTAGTCGTCTGAGAAGTCTAACACAAATTCTTAAAACATACTCATAAAGCCTGAACGACTTAGTAGACGAGTAATAATTAAGTCGTCTGGAAAGTCATCCAGCCGGAAGATTTTTCAGACGACTTAATTATTAGTTGTCTGACAAGTCTAACACAAATACTTAAAACATACTCATAAAGCCTGGACGACTTAGTATACGACTAATAATTAAGTCGTGTGGAAAGTCATCCAGCCGGAAGATTTTTCAGACGACTTAATTATTAGTCGTCTGAGGAGTCTAACACAAATTCATAAAACAAATTCTTAATACATACATAAATTCATAAAACAAATTCTTAATACATACATAGATTCATAACACAAATTCTTAATACATAGATTCATAAAACAAATTCTTAATACACAGATTCATTACAAAAATTCTTAATACATAGATTCATAACACAAATTCTTCTAGATGACTTAATTAAAGGCCATTCTTTACATTGTGCTTTCGCATGGCCAGTTTCTCTGCATACTGAGCATCTATAAACCCTGTGTTGCTTCCGGGGTTTGCGTCCTCTCATCCGGGACAGCTCCAACCAAGATTTCCATCTTGATTTCTTCTGTCTCCCCGGACCACGGTTTTCGGCCGGAGGATCGCATGTGCGTTCCTCAACTTGTTGTCCAGCACAAGGATATATATTCTCTGAGTATCCTGCAAACAAAGAATTCTTTGAGTACACTGGATGTACAAGAGTGGAAATATGTAGACGAGCATGTGATCCAGCAGCTATAGCATGAGAGCAAGATAATTTCTCCACTTGAGAAACACCACAATCACCCTTCCCATTCTCCAAATCAACCACACAGTCCACTTTGCCACCTTTCACAAAGAATATCCATCCATCAATTGGTTGGGTCCTCATCGTATCCGCTACCTCAGATCGAACATCAAGCAAGTATTCAACACCCCGATTATGATCTGTTAGGAGACTCAAAGAATCTTCTATCCTTTTCCAAAACCACTTACCTAGCTTCTCCCTTATAAACTCCAACAGGAACTGAATCGGAAATCCTCTAGCTCGCTATAGTGCGGAATTAATAGATTCAGCGATGTTGCTTGTTTTTTTATGTTGTGCTTGTCCCTGCAACAATAAACCCTTGACCATAGGCTGACGTCGGCATCCTCCAAATACGTTGCAAGGTCTGGGTTTGCACTCCGTATCTCAGCCATGTACCGATCAAAATCTGAAACCATATGAGCATAAGCATCACCTTTCACCAAGTACAACAGATGTTTCCCTTTATATTTTTTGACAATGTTTTCTTGAAGGTGATAATAACATATTCTCCGGGTTGCCCAAGGAAACACCTTATCACACGCACTTTTAATGGCCGGGTGCCGGTCAGAGACTATCACCAGAGGCTGCTCATCAGATACACAACTAGCCAATTTTGTGAAAAACCATTCCCAAGAAGGTTCATCTTCAACATCTACAATCGCAAAAGCCAATGGAAATATCTGAAAATTCCCATCTTTTGCGGCTGCAACTAACAAAACACCTACATACTTCCCACTTAGGTGAGTCCCATCCACCACAATGACCCTTCTCTGATACATAAAACATTTATAGAAGCTCCAAAAGAGAGAAATAGATACTTAAATCTATTGATAGAATCAAGTTCTATATCCGTGATAGAATCGGGATTTTCTAAGGAGATTTGCTCGAGATATGATGGCAGATGCGAATATCCATCTTCTGTTGATCCTCTCACCAATGTTTGTGCATTGCTGGAGTCCTCTGTATGAAATGGTGTAAATAAGCGTCATGCCAAACATGTTCTTCATTGCATCAGTGATATGCTGCGGAGTCAACCCATCAATGATTCCAACACGATCAATGAAAAGCCTACCAACATACTTTGGAGTACAGTGTCTCCGCTGAGCGATTCGGTCTCCCACTGAGCATGTATGTGTTTGCACATATTTTGTTACCCAAAACGTGTTTGTCCCATGTTTCACACTTGCTCTGATCTTCCATCCACAACCACTATCCCGACATGTTGCCACAAGGAGAGTTTTCGTTGACTTGTATATTCTGAAGGAGAACTTACGCCTCACTACTGTCAACCGCAGCTCTGAAAGCAATGCATCCTTGCTAACAAAACTCTGGTTGGCATAGATACTGTTACCATTTGATTCTCCTTCAATATCATATGTCTTTTTAAAATCTTCAAAACAAATATCATCATCTTCTTCCTCATCTTCATCTATAACCTTTCCATAAACACTGTAATCCTCACCATTCTCGTCCGTTTCAGGAACAATAGAGATATCAGCATCCTCCTCCCCATCATCCTTCTCCCCATCATCCTTCTCCCTATCATCCTCATCCCCATCATGATTTTCGTCTCCAACCAACTCATTATCATCATCATCTTCAAAACATTCATCAGCTTCATCATCTTCAAACCATTCATCAGCTTCTTCCTTTTCCTCTGAAACCATTTCCACCTTGCTACAGCTTGATATACAAAGCCATACTCTATGCGTTTTGGTTATCTCGAGCAAGTTTCAAACTTGTCTATCACATGTAACATGAATGGGAGGGGTGGCTGGAGCCATCCTCATTTATGTTGGTAATGAGTAGCTTATCTCCATAGTGACTGTGCTCATGTTCAGGTTACAATCTTCTTGAGCCATTTAAACAAGTTCAGCATGTGTCGAACCTTCACTAAAAAAAAACATTCTCGCACTTTTGAAATTATCAACCGCAAAATCCCAACAGCCATCTTTGAACAACCATTCTCCATACATTGCATGTAACTGATGAATCATCTGCAAAAATTCAAAATAAAAACACTTTAGAAAACATAGAGAAAAGGAAAATTTACTAAACATTGACGCAGACAACATACAATGAAATCGTCCGGGCGACTTAACGGTAAGTCGTCCGGACGACTTAAGGAAAAGTCTTCCAGAAAGGTCATTTTTGCAATTGAAATTTAAATTAGACGACTTACTTCCAAGTCGTCCAGCTTTGTATGTTAAAAAAGAAAGCTTGACGACTTATATGTAAGTCGTCTAGGAAAAACGAGCTATTTTGCATTTGACCGAATTGTGTCAGATATTTGACTTTTCATGGACGACTTACCAGTAAGTCGTCTCTGGGAAAGTTAAAATTTCAATATTTTATTAATTCAAGACGAGTTACGGATAAGTCGTCTTAGGTTAGTTTTGTAATTGAAAATAAAACTTTAACTATAACTTTTCTCAGAAGACTTAATTTAAAGTCGTCTGGGTCGTCCAGCCAGACGACTTACTATAAAGTCGTCTGTGATAAGCAAGGTTTTACCAAAAAAAATCTGGACGACTTTGCTTATCACGGACGACTTTATAATAAGTCATCTGGCTGGACGACCCAGACGACTTTAAATTAAGTCTTCAGAGAAAAATAATTAAAGTTTTATTTTTCAATTACAAAACTAACCTAAGACGATTTATCTGTAAGTGTCTTGAATTAATAAAATATTGAAATTTTAACTTTCCCAGAGACGACTTAATGGTGAGTCGTCCAGGAAAAGTCAAATATTTGACACAATTCGGTCAAATGCAAAACTAGTCCATTTTTCCTAGACGACGTACTTATAAGTCGTCAAGCTTTTTTTTTTAACATACAAATCTGGACGACTTAGAAGTAAGTCGTCCGTTTCACCAGAAGACTTATCTGTAAGTCTTCTACATCCATAAGACTTACGGGTAAGTCTTCTACGCGAACAGATCTGGTAAAAAATTCAATTTCATACCTTAAACTAGGTGTGATGAATTCTTTTGCACACAGAGTCTTCTCCAACCACCCAGAACATCAAACGAAAGTAACCCACCAAGAATTGTATGCTTAAATGGCTCTATCAACCATAAAAAAATTTGAAATCAAAACCTTGGGTTTTTTGTATGAATATGGAGACAAAGTGAAGGAGATGTTGTTTTTAGTTCATAACAATTGAGAAAGAGAGTATGGGTATCGATTTTAAGTGCATTAAAAGCTTCAAACTGGTTGTACAAGGTTGTTGGGTTGTACAAGGTTGTTGGGCGTATTCATGGCAATGGCAATGTTGTAAATACTTGAAGATGATGAAGTTGAGAGAGTAAAAAAACCACTTTCGAAAAAAAATTACAAAAAATTTTAATGGCGTTTTCGTAAATAAAATAAACATGTGGGGTGAATAGGACAAAAGAAAGATGAGTCAAAAAAAGAAGTTAGTTTTGTGTTTGACTTGAAGTTTTGAGTCAATTTTGTTAAAAGGCCTAAGAAAAATCTAAATATTGATTAGATGGTTAATGTGATTGTTTAATTTTTTAAGAATATCATATAAAATGAAATAAAAATGATGAAGGATACAAAAATTGTTATCAAATATTTACTATTCCAAACCATTGATATCATCTACATGTTAACCACTTTAGGCAATTTCATAACTTTTATTTAGGAAAGAATGTAGAATATTATTTTATATACTACTAATTAAATTGATGATTAGTTTAATATAAACTATAAATATATATTTAGATGGACTAATTTTTTTTCTAAAGATTCTAATAATCATTGTGGTAATGACACGTGACTATCAAAACATGTATGTGGCGTTCCCCAATTAATATACAGGGGATGTGAGTTGTTCTTCGTTACATTACATAGTAGACATGAAAACAAAAGAAGCTATTTCTAGTTTATTTATACTTCCTATTGTACTTTTAAGAGTCTTCTTAAACTGGCGAAAAAAGAGAATACTTAATGACATCTACGTAATAACAAAATTGTTTGTTGTTTAATAACTTAATAGCTTAATCGAACGATCTGGGTTTTTGAAAACCCTAAGATCGATCTCTTTATACTTCCATTTGCCATGTGCAGACTTGTGTGTAGCGTGTTCGGTTCCCCCAAAGAGTTTCTTTCTCCAACGTTATTTTCTTTAACCTTCTTTATGTTTTCTTTATGATTCTCTTACAGTCTTGGGTTTGAAACAAAGACAGACAAACTGCTCTTCTGTTTCTTTGTCTCCCTCTTTCCCTACGCAACACACAACAGATAATATAAGAAAGCATCTTGATGTGACCGTGTGCTCTATATTGAAGAAAGAAATATTACCTCCTCTTTCCTGCTCTGATTCTGATCTCGAGTTTTAGCATTACTCCTGAAACATCTGGTAAACACAAAGAACCAACCACAATCAAAAACAGAAACAAAACCAATACCAGAAAAGAAGAAAACACGCAACAATGACTTACTTCAGTAAACTTAATTTTTCGCGGTGAACCGGTTTTAACCGGTTTCTCTTCAACCTTCCTTGAGCTCTGAGTTACCGGTCTTTCTCTGCATTTTGAAAACAATCAGTAAAAGAGTAATAATATTTGCAGACAAAGATTAGTGTTTACATAGAGAGAAAAACACAACCTTGTTTTCTCTGATGAAGCAATCTCTGTTCTTGTTGCATCTATAAACTTTGGAGGAGGGATTATTTTCTCCAGAGACAATCTAGACACCGGTCTGTTCTTTGTCATCGATCTCCTAATTTTATCCTCTTTCAACAATTTCTTCATCTTGTGCCTTCTCCTTGTCATCACACTCACTTTCCTTGAGTGAGTTCTCTTTATACATTATTTTATCAATCTTCTGAAATAAGAAAATGGTGGAGGAAAAATAAAAGACGTCCTCTCTACCACAAATATAAATCAAACAATGAACAAAACAGTGAATTAGAACAACTAATTCACGGCTCGAAAACTAAGGCGCTCATATATTTTACAGCACACCAGACAAGTTTCACATGCGGAAAAGGAAAATACCCAAGGAAACAGCCGCTGAATGGAACAAACACCAGAAACACGCCCTCGGATCAGACATGACATCAATGATCAGCTTAAAGGTCAGCACCACCTCTAAATTCACGCATACTAAAAAATAATAATACTGCTAACAACTGTAAAACCTGCAGATATCCAAAAAAGAGAAAGGGATATGCGAACTCCTATCAAAAAAGTCAATCCCAAAAAAACGAAGTAAGGAGATATCCCACCATGGAATTGCTCTCTATTCCTCTTTACTAACACCTTCTTTTATGACACAAACAAAATCACATAGTCTATACAACTACAAATGGCTTCCAATGAATCGTACTAACCTTGGATAATGTTCGTATATGTAGGATCTAGCGCTGCTCTTTGGGGAAGATGTCACGGTCTCATAAACATGCATCTAATCGGATCTTTGAATGACCATTCTGTCATGCTCTGGTATGGGAAAAAGAAAAAAAATGGACCAGAGGTAATCATAATCGTAACGCCGGTTGCAGTGTTTGACGCAAAAAAAAAAAGATGGAAAAGAAAAGTTGAAAGACAAAACAGAACTCACCATATACCATCTTTGTATATAGGAGGATGGTGAACGCATAACTTGCAGAGGAGACGTTTCGTCGATAGAGATCTGGAGAGGAGTCAAAGAGATCGAGTATGTAAAAGGACTCGCCGGAATAGGAACAGACCTCAAACACGGAAAGACCTAGAAGGGAAGAAGTTACATGTTGAAAATGTTTATGTTAAAACCCATGGAAACATAAAACCCACATGAAACCTAAAGAGATCTGGCGAAAGAGAAACAGCAGGCGACTAAATCACACATTAGGGTGCAAAAAAACAAAGGCTAGGCCCACTCAACTAGTGACGTGCAGACCTTGGAAAGCTTTGAAACTGAACTATATTATATATAAGATTTGTATGCACTAAAAAGTATTAAAATTACACAATTTGCTTGAGTACAAACATTTCATTGTCTAAAAATAATAGTTTACAAGAATTTGGCAAACACTAAATTAGAGCTAATAAAGTTGTTTAAAATTCAACAAATATCAAAGAAAAATTAATGTTTACTAAATTAATTTCTAATTTATCTTTATAAATACAAATTTATTTGTTTTAAAATAAAGTATTTGTGTTTTTTGTCAACTACGTATATGTACTTTATCTGATTTAATATTTTCATGTATAAAATTAGTATTTAAATATTTTTTTGGGATAATTGATAAACACGGAAAAATATTGAAAATATTAATATCTCCCTTGTGCAAGGATGACACGCAAAAATCAAAAAATAATCTTGTTTTGAAAGAAAAATATATTCAAAAAAATACTAGTATTTAATTGACCATTTTCTCCATCGAATTAAGAAAACTTAGGGATTGACTGGTTTCCCCGCTACCACCCGCAAACACAACTTTTGCGGTTGGTAGCGGTTGTTGGTGTATTGACACAGTCACAAAAACCGCTACAAATCGCTTTAAACAGCTTCCAACCTCTTAAAATCTAAAGTTGATTTGAGTTAGCGTTTGCGGTTGCGGGCGGTTATGGATGGGTACAAAATAAATATTTTTCTTTTAAATTTAAATTAAAATATAAAAATGGAAATATTATAACTAAAATTCTATTTGCCTTTTATATTTTAATTTTAATTTATTAAAAAATCATAATTTATTTATAAAAACTTTAAATCAAGAAGTTTCACTATATTTTTAAATATTAATTTATATTAATATATAAATACATAAATATATAAATACATAAATACCTAAATATATAAATATATAAATATATAAATATATAAATATATAAATATATAAATATATAAATATATAAATATATAAATATATAAATATATAAATATATAAATATATAAATATATAAATATATAAATATATAAATATATAAATATATAAATATATAAATATATAAATATATAAATATATAAATATATAAATATATAAATAT